CTGTAACCCCGGTGCTGAGACAGGAGGATCCTGAGACCCACTGCTGGCCAGTCTAGTCCATCGATCAGTGAGCTCCTGGTGCAGTGAGAGACCCTGTCTCAGAGTATGAGATAGAGAGAGATTGAAGATGGCACAGGATGTTGACTTCGACCTCTACACACAAGCTACACACACACACAAGCACACACACACACACACACACACGGGTGTACACATACACAGAGCAAGGGGCATCATTCAGACAGTAGCAGAGAGAATGAAGAACCACTTCATGGGACTGTAGGGATAGCTTAGTGGTTAAGACCCGGGTTTGGTTCCTAGCACCCAAGTGGTGGCTCTACATCATAATTCTAGCTTCAGGGGACTGATGCCTTATTCTGACCTCTGAAGGCACCAGGAGCAAATGTTGTGTCTAGGCATGGGCAACACACACACACACACACACACACACTTTTTCATTTGTGTGTATTTGATAAATGGTCTGTTCTTTTACTTGAAGCTTGGGGAGAGAACACCTCTATTCAGGACTCTGGCTCAGAAGTTCAAGACGCTCTATCAGTAGTTCTCATCCTGTGGGTCTTGACCGCTTTGTGGGTCAAACGACCCTTTCACAGTGATACCATAACACCATTGGAAAACACAGAAAAATTAGTTATGAAGTAGCATCAAAAATGGTTTTATGGTTGGGGGGGTCACCACGCATGAAGAACTATATTAAAATGTCACCGCATTAGGAAGGCTAAGAACCATTGCTCTACATAAAGAATCTAGAAAAGCCACTCTGTTGTCCCCAAATGGTGACACCTCCAGCGGCTAGGAACTCAGTCTCCTCTCCAGTCCCCGCCACGGAGTTTGCTGTGTTTGGGAGATATCTTGATCACGAGCCACAGACCCACAGATCTGGATCCTCTGCTCCATCCTCACACCTAGCAAGGCTGTTTCCTCGTTCATTCCGCATTAGCATTTGCTGGTCATGAGCCCTATGCCCTGCTGCATGCTGGGAGCTTGCTGGTGTCGATCCCAACAAGGATGGAGGGTGAAACTGCGTTAACTCCTGTTCTGCCTCGCACACAGCCTGGGGTGGCCCTTCATTCTCTTCCCTGTGGGAACTCAGTCCTTCCGGTCAGCATCCCACTCAGCAACAGGAACCGTCTCCGCAATGCGAAGTCCCGTTACCCCACTCTGTTATTAAAACAGAGCCCAAAGGCAGCCAGGGTGGCTCCGCAGGTAAAGGCGCTCGCTGCCAAGCCCGAGGCCTGGGTTTGATCCCCAGGACGCACGTGGTGGAAGGAGAGAACAGATTCCCTCAGGCTGCCCTCCGTATTCATTGCCCAGAAAGCATGGGTGTGGGGCAAGCATGTGAACACACGCACACACACACACACACACACACGCACACGCACACACACGCACACACACACGCACACACACACCACAATCAATATTTTTAAAACAGAGTCCCAAAATCTGACCACGTTTCCAGGGCCCCGGACGGCATGCCCTCTGCCCGCTCTGCCCCTGGCACCCTCTGGCCACTTCTCCTAACCCCACCACTCTCCCCCACCTTCGGCCTCCTCATCCTCCCGCTTCCTCCCACCACAGCTGCCACAGGCCGCTCTCCAGGAGCCTCTCCTCCTCCCCTGCTAGGCTCTGGCTCCCAGCTCCCACCAAGCCTCTTGGCTTGATCACACCTGACTGCACAATCTCCCGCCTGGCCCTGGCTCACAACACTCGTCAGAGAGGCAATCCCTACGGTTTGCCTGAGTACTTGACGAATCCCAATCCCATCAGACTCTTACAGTGCGTGAGGGGCTACGGTCGCATTCCCACAAATGCCCAAGGCTTGTCTGGGTCCAAGCTTGACACATGGCATCTCTCCGTCACTGCCACGAGGCGAACCATCCTAAAAAAAAAACCCAGTGGCTTTAAAACGCTATCTTTTCTTCCGTCACGTGTGTTGAGTGGCTGGGGATGAGCTGGCTGTCTTGGCCTTGGGCTCCTGTCTGGGCCTGACTCACAGATGAGCAACCCAGTGTGTGCAGCCCAGGGGCAGCAGAAGCCTGTTGTCACCTCTGTGCCTTTTGAGCCTCTCATCTGCTCCCTTCCAGAACACAAGGACATCGCAAGGGCAGAGGAGGAAGGCTCTCCAGCCGGTGGGGTTGAGGGAACAGTGGCCACTGCCCTAACCGTCTCAAACCCCACTGTCCTCAGACACTATTGATGAGTTAATGAAGACATTCAACTGGATAGATCTGGTCACATAAAGGGACAGCACGGTAAAGAAGGAAAAGGAGGAGCCTGACTGCACAGTTAGTCAACGTGACATGCTCCGTGCCCAGTGTTCCCGAGGTGGCTTCTGGGCTGCAGCGCGCCTAAGGCCTTGGGTTCAGTTCCCAAGTTCTGCCACGTTAGAATAAATGAATTTTTAAAAAGAAAATCCTTGTTTAACGCACCAGCCGGAGCGGCCTGACAATGCAGCCCTCGGGAAGCAGAGGCAGGAGGACCGACCAACCTGCCATACACGAGACAGCCTCAAAGAAACCCTCGGCTCGCCAATCCTCACAGGAGCCTTCCGGTGTAGATGAGGAAATAGGAGCCACAGATAAAAATGAATGGCTTGTTCAGGACAGTGTAGCCACTAGTTAAGTTTCTTGCAAACTTACGGCTTGGATTTGAACCCAGCAACCTGGCTTCAAAACCAGCCCAGTGCCTGGCAGCTTTTCTCATGACTGTGACTAAAATACCTCCCAGAAGCCATGCGTGGGAGGAAAGCTTGGCTTGGGCTCGCAGTTTCGGTGGCTTTCGGGGAGGGCTAGGAACGGGTCAGTTCCCGGCTGGCAAGTGTATGTGTGGAGGCTGTCTCGGTGGGGCAAGAAGCAGAGAGCTCAGGCTGGAAGCAGATACCAGCTTCTCCCAAACGACAACCAGGCCAGTCAGGCCACTGCCCCGCAGGTCCCACGACATCCCAAAACGGCTCCATGAGGGTTTTCCACATCCTAACTGTTAACAGCATCTCACCCAGGTCCCTGTGTGAGACCACATGTCTAGGTAACGCCAAAACCAGGAATGTGGGGCTGGAGAGACGGCTCAGCGGTGCCGCCGTGCCTTGGTTCCCAGAACCCACCACACACGGCAGGCAGCTCACAACCGCCCGTCATTCCAACTCCAGGGGAGCCGATGCCCTCTTCCGGCCCACTCAAAACGTTTCACTCAGACTTGCACACACAAAATAAGATAAGCCTGATGAAGAAATGACAGAGGGAAACCATTGGAAAATGGGAGAGTAAACAACAGTGGAAAAAAATTATAGTAGTCATCCCCTGGGGGTAACAACTGGGGTGGGGGAGGGGTGGGGCAGGGAGCCACCAAGGAAGGGTTACTGTTTTATATCTTTTTTTCACATTTGAAATAGCATTTGTGACAAGAAATACAGCCCAGTAGAAGGTTGCATTCCTAGTGGCCCTGTGTCTGACCACCGGGATTGTAGAATCAAATAAATAAATAAACCACCTGCAGGCATTTTAAACCGTTCATTTCTATAACAAGACGCCGCGGGGATTTCTTTCCCAGAGTTCTGCAGGCTGGAAAGACGGGGGATGGAGTCCAAATTCCCGCATTTGGGGAAGGCCTGTGTCGCAGTTTGCTTTCTACTCCTGTGATAAACACTTGGAAGGAAAGCAATGTGGGAAGGAGAGGGTGTATCTGGGTTGCAGGCCGGAAGCCATCACTGAGGGAAGCCATCACTGAGGGAAGCCATCACTGAGGGAAGCCATCACTGAGGGAAGCCATCACTGAGGGAAGCCATCACTGAGGGAAGCCATCACTGAGGAAAGCCGTCACTGAGGAAAGCCGTCACTGAGGGAAGCCGTCACTGAGGGAAGCCGTCACTGAGGGAAGCCGTCACTGAGGGAAGCCATCACTGAGGGAAGCCGTCACTGAGGGAAGCAATCACTGAGGGAAGCCGGGGCAGGAACTGAAGCCGGGAACTGAAGCAGAGATGGTGAAGGACCGTCTCGGACTGGCTTGCTCTCCATGGCTTGCTCAGCTCGCTTTCCTAGGCAACCCAGAACCACCTGTCTAGGGCTGGTGCCACCCACAGTGGGCTGGGCCCTCCCACACCCACCACCAATCAGGAAAACTCCCCACAGGCCAGCCTTCAGGCTAGTCTTACAGAGGAGGTTCTCAGTTGTGGTCCCCTCTGTTCAGATGACCCTAGCTTATGTCAAGGTGACAAAAAACTCCACCAACATAGCCTGCTTGCCAGACAGTTGTGACCTCCTACATGTAATCTGTCCTCGCTGTGTCCCTGCGTGATGGAAGAGCGTAGAAAGTCTCTCAGGCCTCTTTTGTAGGGACACTTAGTCTCTCATTCATGACGGCACCACCCGGCTCTGAGGACGCCAACATTCAGATGGCAGCAGCCTGCGCCGTCCTGATTGCAGCACAAATCAAGAAGAGCCAACTCCAACACTCCCCTTCCCCAGAGGTGACCTTCTCATGGTCACCTGGGACTCCTCCAGAGAACAGTGGGCCCACTGTGTGCTCTGCTGTGGCGGGCCCACTGTGTGCTCTGCTGTGGCGGGCCCACTGTGTGCTCTGCTGTGGCGGGCCCACTGTGTGCTCTGCTGTGGCGGGCCCACTGTGTGCTCTGCTGTGGCGGGCCCACTGTGTGCTCTGCTGTGGGTGCCACAAGCCATGCACCGGCCTCCTTTGGCTCTTCCTCCTAACCATCCATCACGGAGTTGGCTCCACTCGGGGACTAAAGACACTTTGGGGCTCAGAATTGAGGAGGGTTCCCAGCTGCCAAGGGTCCCTGGTCGGCTCAAGGAAGAGAGAGGCCCTTGAACCCGAGGTCTCTCCCGCCAGGCAGCGCTCAGAACCCAGGACACAACTTCCTGTCTCACTCTGCCACCTCAGGAGTCCAGACAGCCCTGGGCGGGGCCCCTGTAAACACATCAGCATGCCTGGTTCCCCTTTCCATTGTCACAGGTGCCCCCAATCCTGAAGCCACGCCTCTCATCTGTGCCCCGGGGGTGGCCTGGACTTTGAAACAGGGCCCCTCTGGCTACATGATGCTCTGTGGCTGACAGGGGGCAAACCAAACACCAGCCTACCCATATCCCAGCCCGTTCTCAGCGGTGAACGAGCCACACAGACACTGTTCACCCCACCTGACCCTGCTACGCCTCTGAGCCGGGGCAGCTTGGTGTGGCGACTGCTGCATCCGGCTGAGGTCCCAGGCGCCCATCCTGAACACAGAAGGCGGAGGCCCGCCATGGAACCAGCTGAAGGTAGGTCTTTTCTATAAAGGGAAAACACAAGGCAGTACTTTCAGCGCCAGCTGAGTTGTCTGTTGTGCGGCTTAGTGGTGGAGGGCCCGTCTGCAGCAAGGACTGCCGCGGAGGAGGAAGAGGAAGAGGTGAGCTTGGCGCCTCCTGTCTCAGAGTGGCTTGGAGATCCTGACATCTGGTTTTAAGTGTGGGGTCTGAGTTTTCTTTTTTCTTCCTTTCTTTCTTTCTTTTTTTTTTTTCCCCCTGTTCAATTGGTGGCTTTGCCTGGAGCCCTAGGAAAAAAAAACTCTCAGGAAATTGGTGGCAATCTGAACCCAGATCCTCTGGCCTCTGGGTCCCTGACACTAGACCACCCAGGATCTGGAACATACCGTGAGTGGGCTGAACCTTTTCTGGTGACTGCACCCGGAAGTCGCTCTGCAGCTGGTGTTGGGGGGTGGGAGCCCTGGCTGCAGGATGTCAGCCTCAGGTCTGGTTTCACAGAGCTCCTGCTCCCTGTGAAAGGGCACAAAGGGAAGTCCAGCCTTTCTGTAGCTAGGCAGGGCCACACCAGCTAGGGAGTAAGAGCTCAGCTAAGGCTAAGAGAGAAGCTGATGCCATTGTGGCCGGGCTGGGTCACCTGCTTGGGGCCAGTTGCCGCTATCCTGCTTCCACAAGCCAGTTACAAAGACACTGGCTCTCAGAGGGCCTCAGTTCTAGTCAAGGGTGGTGGTACACACCCCTAAGCCCAGCACTTGGAAACAGGAGGCAGGAGAATCAGGAGTTCAAGGCCAGCTTCATAGCAGGTTTGAGTCCAGCCGGACTATATGAGACCCTGTCTCAAAAACTGAAGACAGAGAAGAAACAGCCAGATGACTTGATGGATAAAAACACTTGCAACATTAGCCCAGTTTCAATGCCCAGAAACCCGCAGGGGACAGAACGGACTCCTGAAAACTGTCCTCTGACCTCCACAGGCATGCTGTGACATGCTTGTACACACACACACACACACACACACACACACACAGAGACAGAGAGAGAGACAGAGACAGAGATAGAGAGAAGATAACTATGGAAAGGAGGGTGGGGGGGCTTCAGTCTTTCTAGTAGCTCCCCTTGAACCCGAAAATGCCTGGGAGTTACGCCATGGCAACCATCGAAGCCTGGAAAGCAGACTCAGCTGCTGCAGCTTGCTGGGGTGAGAGAGGGTGAGGCCAGGCCCCCCGGGGATGAATGACCTACATGTGCAGCAGGGACCTCCCATCTGTCTGGGCCCAGCTTGGGGCTGCTGTCCCTGGAAGAGGCCCCTCTGTCTGGCTGCACAGTGCTCAGGGCTGTGGTTGCCTGGGACCTGCCTGTCTCCTGCAGCCTGGGAATCCCAGGGCAGGTCCCGCTATGAAGTTTGTCCCGGCACACAGCAAATGCATAATATAAGTACTTGTGGGACCACAGAAAATCAGCATTGGCATATACTGAACTCCCAAACTGTGGCCCTGGCCCGGTGGAGATCTTTCCTAATGCTTACTGACCCCAACAGAAGTGTCCAGAGTCCTGCTGGGCCCCGTTCCAAGTTCTCACAATGCCTGCAAGGTCTGAGGAGTCTCTGCTCTCTCTCCTGAAGCCGCTGGCGACATACCCTAAGCTTAGCTCATAGGAGTCATAGTGTGTCTCGTCTCTGGGGAGCAGAGTTAATTATCCCAGTCCACAGAGGAGGAGACCAAAATTCAGAGTGGAGACGTGACCCCATGGCATTCACTGCTTAGTAGTGGAGCCAGGATTTGAACTCTGATCCTTCATGTTTGGAATCTTACAAGGTGTTGTCTCCTCAACAGGCTGAGAACAACAGGGGTCCCACATCCTTGCTTCCTCCGGAGAGGGTGGAAAGTGTAACAGACAAAGCTGACTCTCCCTCACGAACCTGGGAGGGGGTCTGAAAGGAAATCGCTGTTGGCAGGAGCCAGAGAAGAGGTGTGTGGGCAGAGTGCCAGCAGGAGCCAGGCCACTACTGAGCAAGCCCATGGCAAGGACGGGTCCGTGGGCAGAAGAGCACGGTGGTGTGGCCCCTCGGCCTGACTCACTCTCTGAGTGCTCAGGGCACATCAGGCAGGGTGTGTAACAAGGAACAGCAGACCGTTGCCCCTCATCGGGGAGACTTGTCACAATGTGGCAAGGAAAGGGAGGACCTGGCCAGCTTCCTCACAGCCAGGGACCCAGCGGCTGCCACTGTGCCTGAACTGAAGAGTTACAGTAGATGAATAAATGAATGAGCGAATGAACGGCGCGTTGGTGTACAGACCATCCCCCCCTGTATTCCCAAGCTTTCACCCGGCAGCTGTGCTGGCTGGATCCCTCCCACTGTGAGCAACCCGCCTGCTGTGAGCATCCCTCCCGGTGTGAGCATCCCTCCTGGTGTGAGCATCCCTCCTGGTGTGAGCATCCCTCCTGGTGTGAGCACCCCGCCTGGTGTGAGCATCCTTCCTGGTGTGAGCATCCTTCCTGGTGTGAGCACCCCCCTGGTGTGAGCACCCTGCCTAGTGTGAGCATCCCTCCTAGTGTGAGAACCCCACCTAGTGTGAGCACCCCGCCTAGTGTGAGCACCCCCCCTGGTGTGAGCACCCCCCCCTGGTGTGAGCAAGCCATGCCAAAACCACTAACAAACACATTAGTGTCTTTGTACAGTGTCACCATAAACTCAAGCTGCTCTCTTGACTGATGGTCCTTCAGTCCCAAAGAGAAGATGCTAATGACCCCAGCTAGAGGGGTCCTGGGGGCACAGAGAGCTGCTGGAAGTCCATCTCAGAGCTGTCTAACTGCCGAGAGCTGCTGGAGGTCCATCTCAGAGCTGTCTAACTGCCGAGGATTGGGCTGTGTATGTGAGACACAGAAACAGAACAGGACAGATGGCAGCCATGTGGGGACCCAGCAGCCGAAGCAGACAGACTCTAGCGGTGGGGACTGAGCTGAGCCCCGGGGACCGCAGGGACTTCTCTGCCATCAGTCCCTTGACACACACTTCAGGTGGTCAGATCCCAGGTCAGTGGGACCGCCCCTCGCAGGGTCAAGTGCGCTCCTCGCCGTGGCGCCCAGTCATGGCGTCATCGTCCCTCCACACATGTGCTCAGCAAGTCTCAGGCCTGCTTTTTCTGATACGGTTTTACATTTTACTCGCCTGTTTTTAGTATTGTTTGCACATGTGGAGGTCAGAGTACGCCAGGCTTGCGTGGGCGGGCAGTGATGAGCCTTCCCACCAATCACAGTTGCTGCTCTAGCTTTGCTCCAGGGCGAGGTCGTTTCTCTTCACTCCTGGATATGGTTTTTGTCTGGGAGACGGTTCTCCGTCCCCTGTACCTTCATGTCTCCAAGTCTGTGGGGTGGCCCAGTCTGAGGCCTGGGCAGCCTTCAAGGCTGTGTGTGTCTGTCCTCTCTCAGCCTCCGTACCACCCAGCAGGAACCATCCTGCCCAGCAGTTCAGGGCCTTACGTGTCTCTCATCTGAGGCGTGCTGCTTCCGGCTGTCTGCCTGAGAGGGCCCTGTTCTGTCCTGGTGCTTTCTCCTGGCAGGGTCTTCAGGACACAGCCATCACCCTGCCTTTCCTGCTAAGGACAGCACCCTGCTTTGGGCTCCCCCTATCATTGGACTTCTGAGGAAGAACTGGAGCCCCGATTTTCTGTGTCTACAGACACAGCTCCATTGGTAGAATGCTTACCCAACATGTTGGAAGCCTTGGGTTTGACCCTCAACACTGCAATACACTACGATGTACACTCTGAAAATGGTGAGTTCAAGGTCAGCCTGAGCTGTGTGAGATCCTGTTTCAAAAACAAACAATTGCAACAAACCTGCTTTTCTGTCCTTGGCATACACAGGCCTGGGGCATAAAATAAATCAAATAGCGACATAAACTACATATAACACGAATATGAAAACCCTGAGTCCCTTGTACTCCCTTGGGCTGGGGATGTGTCTGGGTGGCAGAGCACTGGCCTGAATGCTCTCTGTCTGCTCCATTGTCCAGGGATTCTTTCCTTAAGAGTGTAAAAAATCCAGTTCAAAGCAGTTTAAGCAGGGAAAGACGCTGGACGGATTGGTTTACAGGCAGGGGAAGGCGTGGGTAGAGCCTTGGGCACCACAGGCTGGCTGGAGAGCTCAGGCCCGTCTGCCGGGCTTCCTTCTCTGGGTTCAGCAATGGGGGAGGAAAGAGACCGGCCGCCTGCTCTGCAGGGTTGGTACACAGGGCCAGCTCTCAGCAAAAAGAGAAATGTGCTTTCTGTCTCGATTCCAGGGAGAAAAGTCTCGAGTCCTAGGCCAGCCTTGGGCGCATGCCTATTAGGAGCCCCTTGTTGGATGGGAGTGCCGGAGCCCTCCGATGCTCCATTCTGAAGGAAAGGAAAGGACCGGCCGGGGGCTGCCCGCACGAGAGATGCTGATGGCTGCAACCTTGGTCAGGGCCCAGGGCACTTAGGCTGCTTGTGGGGTCAGCTTCCCTCAGATCAGGTTGAGATGGGATGGAGGGAAAGCTGGAGAGGATCTAGGTGTCCTGCTGCTACCTGCTCTCCCCGGGTGTCTGTGGCCTGGGGACAAGATCCAAATAGAACCAGCCTAGGGCAGCAGCCTGCCTGTTGAGAAGGACCAGAGAGTTGGAACCAGAAAGGGGGCTGGGAAGTTAAAGCCACGGCCACCATACTCCCCCACACAAAGCTTTTCTTCCTGTCCTCAGTTCTATCCTTTCCTTCCTGTCTCTTCCTCCATTTTCACTCGAGGTGATGAACAAATGGAAGGGGAATGAGGCAACCTCAAAGCCTGGGTCAGTAACAGTCGGGTCTCTCATGGTGGAAGGAGAGAACCAACTTCCCATAAGCTGTCCTCACACTCTGTGTGCCTTCACACACACACACACACACACACACATCACACATGCACACATGACACATACACACACACATGCACACACACACACAATCACACATGCACACATGACACACTACACACACACACCACATACACACACCACATACACACACACCACACACACATACACACACACACAGGAAAGAAAGTTCAACACATTGGAAAAGGAAACCAAAGCTGGGCGTGGTGACACAGGTCTTTAATCCCAACACTCAGGATACAGAAGCAGACAGAGCTCTGTATGTTCAAGGCCAGCCTGGTCTACATAGCAAATTCCAGGACAGCTAGGACTTCATAAAGAGGCCCTATCTGAAAACAAAAACAAAAAAGAAAAGAAGGGAAAAAGTGAAAAGAAAACCAAGGAAGAAGACACTGGTTAAGGAGCGCTGCCTGTGTCCCTGGATTGGCCATGACGAAAACAGCGCTAATGCCAGCATTAACCTGGACGGCTGTAGCAGGAACAGGAGTCTGTGCGCCCAGTTAAGCACTAGGGGAGCCTGGAAGACTAAACATGCAGGGCTGTTCCTTCAAAGGAAGGGGTGTATAACCTGGTATCCACCCACAAGGCTGGGATGTGGTTTAAATAGCCTGGTGACCTTTGCCACAGATAGTGTGGCCAAGACCACACTGGATCTTCCTCAGACCCTTCTGGTGAGCTTGGTTTTCTTTTTTCCAGTTAATCTATAGAACCTATCTATAGGAACCTATCTATCTATGGAAGGAGTCACATGTAGTTTACAAAGAATTTCAGTATAGTCATGTCTGATCTTTATTGGCTCACTTTGTTCCTCAAAGAAATTAATGTATCTTTGTTGTACACATGGACTTGAGTTAATTAACACCAAAAGTTTCACCAAATTGTGCTGTGCTTAAATATAAAACTACTTGGGGTCAGATTTCTGAAGTTTGAACCAAAACTGGCTACTTAATTGTGTTAGCCAAACTGATTTCTTGCCTCCCACAGACTTGCCACTCTGCTAGCCATGGAGGTTGCAGAGACCTCCACAGACGTCCCATACTCATTTAAAATTCTGACATCATTTTTTTTTGAGACAGGGTTTCTCTGTGTAACAGCCCTGACTATCCTGGAACTCACTCTGTAGAGCAGACTGGCTGCAAACTCAAGAGATCCAACTGCCTCTGCCTCCCGAGTGCTGGGGTTAAAGAGGCGTCCCCATGACAGGCTCTGACAATATTCCTCACAGATCTAGAAAAACAACGACGACAACAACAAAACACCTAAGAATTCATGTAGAACCACAAAAAAGTCACAAATATCCAAAGGAATCCTTAGAGGTAAGAACACAGCTGGCTGTATCACAGTACTTGACCTCAAATTATCTTACAGAGCTATAGTGACAAAGCTTGTTTTGGCATAAAAACAGACATTTAGACCAACAGAACAGAATAGAAGATACCAAAATAAAGCCACAAAGCTATGGGAACCTAACTTTTGACAAAGGAGGCAAAAACATGAGGAGTGGGGGGTTGGGGGAAGGCAATGTCCTAGTCAAGAGACAGTGCTGGCAAAGCCGGGTTTTACCTACAAAAAAAAAATGAAATTAGATTCATGTCTTTTACCCAGTGTAAAAATCATCTTGAGGCGATTAAAGACCTTAATTTTTAAAATCGCTGGAAGTGCTGGAAGAAAACATAGGGACCGCTCTTCAAGGCACTGGAGTAAGCAAGAACTGTCCAAATGGCACAGGAACCAACCCGGAGTATCAACACACAGGACTATGTGAAACTAACAGACAGACACCAGGGTAAGCAAGAGCTCCCTGGACAGTGCAGGAACCAGCCTGGAGTACCAACACACAGGACTGCTCGAAAATAACAAGTTTCTGCACAGCAAAGGAGACCATCAGCAGAGCAAACACACAGCCCATAGCGTGGGAGAAAATCTTAGTCAGCTACTCCTCGGATAAGGGCTAACATCTAGAATTTACAAAGGAAATAAAAGGCCATATCAACAGATGGGCTAATGAATTGAGCAGAGCTGTAAGGAGAAGAAACACTCACAGAGACAAAAACTATTTTTAAAATGCTCACCATCCCTAGTCACTGGAGAAACGCAAATTAAAACTACTCTAAGACGCCACGTCATCCCACTCAGAATGGCTATCGCCAAGAAACCGGACAACACTGTCTTAGGGTTGCTATTGCTGTGTGATGAAACGCCATCAACAAAAGCTAATTGAGGAGGAGAAAGGGTTAATCTGCCATACACTTCCACGTCACTGGTCATCACTGGGGGAAGTCAGGACAGGAACTCAAGCAGGGCAGGAACCTGGAGACAGGAGCTGATGCAGAGGCCGCAGAGGGGAGCTGCTTACTGGCTTGCTCCTTGTGGCTTGCTCAGCC